TAACCCACACGGAAGGAACTAATCAAGCATGAAATTCCCTTGGTAACAAAACAATTGAGCCAATCAGATATCAGCTGAACGTATCAGAATATTTCTTTGCCTCGTTGCACTTGCGAATTTTGAAAAGCGCACAGGATAATACGCTGTTTCAACAGTCCTCTGAAAGGATTGTTGGGCTTTTTGCAACTTTGAGTTTTCAAGATCACAACTAATTAATATTCATGAAAAAATTGGGACCAGAGAAAAAAGTCCGGATAATCGAATAGTCCGGATAATCGAGGTCCGGATAATCGAGGTTCGACTGTACTTATTTATAGTAGTAAGGGTTCTTTATACTCTGTATATTCTTATTGGTGAATGTTATCTTTTTTTCTAGGATAACAAGTCTGTAATTGCTGCCTTGAAGAAAACTGCCTTTGTTGTTGGTACAGCTTTGATTTGCTTTGCAGCAGCAAGAAATACAATCACTTGGTTAGTGAAATCTTGTATCTTCATTTGCTCTAGAAATTGTACCTTAAATCTACCCCTCCTGTCGGATTTTTGTATATCCTCTCCCAAGGGGTCAACATGAAAAAAATATTCTTGTAATGAAAATAAACACGTTTTATCATAGGCATGTGGAGCGTTTCTGGGGAGCATCTGGTGATCTGTGGCAAGGCTGGTGGAAGCAGATCCATGCTTTATTTGGTGGAGATGAATTTCTGCTATCGGCTATTGGTAAGAGATTGGCATTACCATAAACAAATTTGAAATATTAAGCCCTTACTAATCCATACTGCTAACATGCATTTGTAGTATGAAAATGATGATATTAAGGATGAAGATCTTTAAAATGTCTAGCTTTAACTAGCAGCACTGTTGCCACAGATCAGAAAATGATCAGGGAAGAAATTCTTCAAGGTCGGAAAAGTTGGGGAAGTTTATTTTGAGTCAGGGAGAATTGATATTTTGCAGAAAAGTCAGGGAAAATTGAAATAATTCTGTACAGCTGATTTAATACCATTGAAGGCTGGAAGAAACATTTGGGGTCACTGTGATCTCAGTGATATTTTTCCTTTAGTTAATGAAGAAGCCGCCTACCATTAACCAGCAGTGCATTGTTTACTACTGCAAGTGTTTGTGCGATGCAAACTATGTTGGGTATACATGCAGACACCTCTATCAGCACGTTGAGGAACACAAAGGGTCATCTTCAATCGGGAATCACATTAAAGGGCCACATGGAACAGTCCCAATTGACATGTACCATGATTTTAAGATCTTGAGAAAGTGCCAAATTAAATTTGACTGCCTGATCTACAAAATGCTCTTTATAAAGGAGCTTAAACCAACTTTGAACAAACAGTCAGATTCAATCCATACAAAGTTATTTATATAGTTTTTTTATATAGTATTTTATTATTGTAACACTTACATTTTAGCGCTTGTATTTACATATTTTATTGTTGGACATTCTCACGCCCTAATTTGTACTTATATATGTATATTTCATTCGCTTTTTCTGCAACTTGAAAATGATCTCAGGGAGATCGAAATGTCATTTTTTATCACTAGTTTTTATTCTGAAATTAGTTAATGAGGAAGGAAAATTTGTGAAAATTATAATTTATAACGAACGAGTGGAAGAAAAGCTGCTACTAGAGCCAACATTTTGCATTTTTTGGGCAGGGAAATCTTATTTTTATCAGGGAAAAATTGGCAGAATTTTGAAAAGGGATGTTTGTGGCAACCAAGAATAGAGAACGGAGTAGAAATGTTTAGAAGTGGAGTGAGGATAAGAAATAATCAATATCCAAGGAAACCGTGCCACAACAACATTGTGTAAATCTAACTCTTCTCTTCTCTCTTCAAGGAACAAATGTGGTGACATTTACTGTATACTGGGTGTTCAGTGCATTGTATCTGTTTGTGGACTTCACTGGAAGACCCAAGTGGGCCTTGCAATATAAAATTCAAGATGGATCAAATCAGCCTGTAAGTTGTATATCAAGCCATTACTGTCTCTGATTAGAAAAAATGCACCGTGCGAGGGTGAAATAAACCCTAATTAAAAACTCTAACTGTGATCTGTTTACTTATAGCAAGTAGTCAGAAGCCCCTCAAAAGTTTGTCAGTCCACAGTACTTCTGTAATTTGAATTTCCTTAAATATTTTCCCAAGGAACTTCACTCGTGGACAGAATCAACTCAGTAGCATTACTGGGAAATCCACTAGCCCTTGGCTATCACACAGACAGAACTTTCTTTGCACACTGCATACATAAATGAGTGCCAAGCTTTGATGTGGTTATTATGCTAAGTTTGCAATATGTGAATAGTTGTTATACACAACTTTCTCAAAATAGACACAATCTGTGATCGCAGTGAATTTCTTGTACAGTAGCATGCAAAGAAAGTTGTGGTATTTAAGTACTTTTACACCATTTGTTCACAGCTTGACCGCAAGAAGGTTCTACGTGCAGTGAAGCTGGTTTTGTTCAACCAGATTGTAGTGGGTGGAGCCGTAACCCTTCTCATGCATCCAGTGTATGTCTGGCGTGGCTGTTCCTTTGGCCCAGAGTTACCCAGCTTCCACTGGGTGTTGTTTGAAATTGCCATCTTCACTTTAGTTGAGGAAGTTGGTTTTTACTATAGCCACAGGTATGCGTCAAAAGATCACTTTAGCCAACATGTAGCTAGGAGGTAACATCATCGAGACATGTGAAAATACCTCTGATATAGGGCCATGCAATTGAACTTTGCAATTATGTAATGTAAGTTCAGAGTCTCACCCTTCATCTGTTCTTTAGACTGTTCCATCATCCTCGCATTTACCGCTTTGTTCACAAGATTCACCATGAATGGACAGCACCGATTGGCATTGTTGCCATATATGCCCATCCTTTGGAGCACCTTTTGTCCAACCTAGGCCCTATAGTCTTGGGCCCCTTCATCATGGGCTCCCACATTGCTACAGCCTGGATGTGGTTTTCTCTGGCACTCATGACAACAATCAACACACACAGTGGATACCACTTGCCGTTTATGCCGTCACCTGAAGCCCATGACTTCCATCACCTCAAGTAAGTGACAAAAATCTGTATTCTGCTCCTGTCTTAGGAATCAGAGAAGCCAAGACTTATTGATGTAGTTTCTGTTCCACAAAACAGCTAGGAATACTGTAAACTTCTGTGTGAGCCTCTTGAAAATTAAGATCACCAAATTTCATTGGTATAAATTGCTTAAAATAAAAGGCATCCCAAATAACAACCTTCAGGGCTCTTATTTAGTTTTATACCGTTTGTTTAAGGATCTTGTTTTAACAATACTTCAGAAACGCGTTATGTTTCAAGTCATTTTGTGGAGAGAGTTTCATGCTGCTGTTTCATATACGTGTATGTACCTTGTCCTAAAATATTTCATATGTTAACTCCCCTCCAAAACTAAAATTTAAGCCGAACCATTTTTGAAATGCAAAATTCTTTGCAATAATTAGCCTTGATTCACCCGAGGTGCAGGGAAGCCCACCAAGAAGACCTTTTGAACAAAAAAAGCCCAGGAGTCATTACCAAATTTTATAGCATTGTGAATCCACAATTCCCTTCCTGGAAGGAGTAGTCATATTTTCTGGAAAGACAAATTCCTGCTTCTTTTTCTGTATGCTTGACCTAGACAGGTATCCTGTACCTTTCATTTTTTAAATACCTGAGAGCCTAAATACATTTCTAGGTGTCCTCTTATAGGGAGAGTGGTTCTGGGGGTCTCGGATAGTTGTCATGTTAAGCAGGTGTCCCATAACAGGGGACATCTGACATCTTATGGGAAGTATCCACCTTCCAAGGGTTACAAATCAAAGTTACTGTGCTGTTATGTGTAGCCTAACTAGCAGTTTGACTTAAGTAGGCAAGACTTAAAAAGTGGAAGCCTTATTGTTGCTTTGCCTATTCCCTGTAGGTTCACTCAGAATTTTGGTGTTCTTGGTGTGTTGGATCGCCTTCACGGCACGGATGTCATGTTCAGAAATTCAAGGGCTTATGACAGACACATCATGCTGCTTGGTTTTACTCCTTTAAAACAAACCTTTCCTGATAACCCCAAGAAAGGGTCACCAAACAAGAGTAAATGAGTTTGTTTCTAACTTAACGTACCTTTAAACGGATGCCGTTAAAAACGGCTCGATTTTTTTGTTAAATTATGTCTAGAAACAGCTGTTAAGGGTTCCAAGGTAAATGTAAAATGGCAAGTTATTTTTGAGTGGTATTTATTTCATACTAGCCTGCCAGGATACCTTACAGTTGAGATAAGTAATATATAAAAATGCATGATTGATAGATTTATTGAAACGAGGAAATTCTAGATTTTTGAAGACCTGAAGCTAATTTATGGCTTCTGAAAGCTTTGTGCCTTTAAAATGGTTACTTTTAAGCAAGAGTTTGTTTGGTATAAAGATGGACATAATCTTTGTTAAATCTGTGTTAAATCTGTGTTATTTAAGGCTACATATGAGTAGCTATATGTTAAGAGTGTAGGTGTCAATATCTCTCGGGTGTGTCAATATTCAGTGATAATCGTTGGGACATTGTGTTAAGTCTGTGTTCATGAAATGAAATTAAAGCTCTGAAATTTTATTTTGTGCTCAGCTGCTCTTTCTTTGTTCCTACACATATCTACAGTGCACTTTTACAGTCCTTCAGAAATCATTCTAGCTGAAAAAGGTCCAACAGAACAGGGGCAGTTAGGAAATAAATCGGGCAAAAATTTAAGTGTTGTCTTACTTGCAAAACCTTCGACGCTTCAATTTTTGCGCAATTTATTTCCTCCCGCCCCAACTAACTGCCCCTGGGTCTCTAAGAATGAAACGACCTTTAATTATTAATTTCAAACCGAACAAAGGCCTTGCACCTCCTCTTCTAATATATACCGGTAAGAGTTCATTTCAGTTTTCGCTATACCCTCTCCTATTTAACAATTAGATCATGAGCTCGAGATTTCTATGAGGTGATAGATGATGAGGCCGAAGGCCGAATCAACTATCACCTCATAGAAATCGAGAGCGAATGATCTAATTGTGGTTTAGTAGAATACTAACTGAAAATTGCTTCAAATAACGATTCCAAATATTTCTGGTCTTAATATTAAACTTTTCGTTTTAGAGAATTCGCGCGGACTGAGTGGTCAATTTGACATTTTCAGTTGTGTGCGCCCGCTTATCAGTTTCAAAAAATTCGAGTTCTTTTAATTCCAGAAACTGTAAATGTCCTTTTTCAGTCTTCTTAGGAATTTAATTATCCTTTTGTTTTTATGTTCTTTCAAGACTTCGGAGAAACGAGAAAACGTTAAAATTTTATCGACCACACCAAGCCACTGAACACTAATTAAACAATGGAGTGTTTCTGTCGAGGAACTATCGGCTGATAGTTGCCCCCGCGGAAATTTGATGTTCTTAAAACAAATATTTGCCCGAGAAGCGAAGCTTCGAGGGCAAATATGCTAGTTTTAAGAACATCAAATTTCCAAGGGGCAACTATCAGACCGATAGTTCCGAGACATAAACACTCTATTGTCTTTATTGTTCACCACTATATTTTCTTCCGTGCGCCAGTTCAAAAATTGTATTGAATTATTTTCAACTTTTTTAGATGAAAGTCGTGAAAGCCAAACGTAAAATGCAAAAAAGAAAACAAACAAAAACCCTCATAAATTCAATTTTTTATTTTCTATAAGCCCGCTTGTTGACAGAAATATTTTCACGGGCGAGTACTATCCATCCGGGTATTTTCCTCGGACGGGTACTA